AACTAGTTGCAAGCATATTAATCAAATTAATATTTAAGCATATATATAAAAGTCACTTGACATGAAAAACGACAACACTAGCATGTAGATCACATCGATACGAATCTAACGCAATTGAAATGACTCGAAAACGAACTTAAAACGAATATACGACGACGATATTACGAACTGGTGGTAATTTCGTAATTACCTCGTCTTCATCCTTTGGCCTCCCGTACAGCCACCACACGACCATGGTAACAGCAGATGCGCAGGTGTGGGCTCGACTTGTTGCATGAAGGAGAGGATGGTCGGGCTGGGCAGCGCGACGGCGACGGCGGCGGCGAGAGAAGGAAAAAAAATCTAATTTACTACACTAGGGATTTCCCAAACTAGGGGCTCCCTTTACGGTAGTTTTGGTGTGCTTTGTCCAAGGGGTTGGTACAAATATATAGGGAGAAAAATTCCCCACATCTACATCAACTAGCAATATGGTACTAATTAATATTGCACCCTCCATATTTACTAATGGGCCTAAATAATCATTAAAGCCCATTAGTAAATAAATACATGGGCCTTTAGGATTTATTAGGATTATTGCACATGGGCTTTGAGCATTGGGAAAAATGAGAGATTTATTATTTTCGGAATTAATGAATTTCGTAGATAAAATAATTCTAGAAAAGTCTAGAATTATTATTTAAGCCACAAAAAATTCTACGAAAGCTCTGGAAATTCGGGAAATTTTTTCGGAGACATTATGGAACATGAGGAACCCAAATAAAGTATTTGGAGCCCATAATAAGATAATTTGGAGCATCTCAAAATTAAATTATGCTCACAGACAAGTAGGAACAGGTTCTAGAAAAAGCTAAAAAAATTCCGAGAAGTTTGTAGAGATTGATTGACGGACGAGGAACTGAAAGGAGTGATTTACGTTACAAAGAAAAGATTTTAGGAAGCTTCCAACGAAAACTTGAGTCGAGAAAAAAAGAATTTGATTGTAGAAAAAGATAAAGGCGTGCCAGAGAGGAAAAATCGACCTACTAATGCATTTTAATGACTTTGCTTACTTTCAACACACAAAGAAGCAACAAGCAAACATCACATCATCCAAACGCCCGTCAAAATTAGAAATCTTTAAAAATTCATATTTTTCCTAAAACTAAATTTGCGCTAGCTCAAACTAAACTTGGTAATTTTTATCCAAATATTAAAATAATTCATTTTATTTAGTGTTTTCTATGCACAACCCAAAATTGAAAATTTTGGGGTGTGACAATTTTTTAACAAGCAACGTTCACTACTACAGGATTTCTTTTGGACAGCGTTTGGCATTTGACCTCAGATGCTGGCGGGCCGGCTGCCCGCCTCGGTTATTCATGGTAGGGCAGCCGGCTCAGCAACCGCCTCGGTTAATGCTTAACCGAGGCAGTCATTGTAATATAACCGCCTTGGTTAATCATTAATCGAGACGGACATTCTAACGCAACCGCCTTGGTTAATAACTGAGGCGGGCAAATTAACGCGCCCATCTCCATAAATGCATTAACGGAGGTGGGCACACTATAAAGCTCGTCTTAGAAAATATTGGCCCAGCAGGCAGCCCATTCGGCCCGATATCACGCTTGTAGTATATAAGCGGGAGTTAGGGTTTCCTTCGCCCTCCCCAGACGGTGCGCCGCTCTCCCTCCCTCAGATCCATGGTGCGGTGCACCCATTCTCCCTCCCTCTCCTGGCATGACGGCGGCGGAGACCTCACTCGTGGGCATGGTGGCGGCGGCGGCGTCCTCGCGCGCGGGCCCGGTAGCGACGATGAAGGCCTCACGCCGGGCTTTACGGCAGAGGAGGCCTTGCACGCGGGCTCGGCGGCGGCATGTGGGGAGGGCCGCAGCGGCGGTGATGACTCATGGGGTAGCAGATCTTGGTGACCCCTCCCTCTCCTCCGAGCACGGCGACCCATCCCTCTCCTCCGAGTACGATGATGCCTCCCTCTCCTCCGAGCAGCTATGGGGGCGCGGATCCAGCCATGACCGAGCGGATCCGGCCAACGAAGGCTGCGGGGGCGTGGATCCGGCCACCACCGAGCGGATCCAGCCACCGGAGGCTACGGGGGCGTGGTACAGCGACGCGTGGTATCGGGCTCGGTGGGCTAACGGGCTTGGTGGTTTTTTTTTAATTTCCTGAAATTATTAACCGTGGTGGGCTACATAACTCAACCGCCTCGGTTAATGCCACGATTAGCCGTGACCTTTAGTTCGAGGCGGTTGCAAAAACCACGTCGGTTAATCCGTTATGCCCGCCACGGTTAAGATTTGTGTAATAGTGGTTATTAACTTATTATCCCTTTACTTTTATGTGTGTTTTTAGTACAAAAGTTTAGTTGTAGCAACACACGGGCACGCTACCTAGTCTCATATATGTTGCAAGTGTTTCACCTGGATGTTGCATATGTTCTGCAATGGCTACACACGTGTTTCCCTGGTGTTTCATATGTATGTTGCAAATGTTTTAATTGATTTGTACGTATGTTTCAAGTGTTTCATCTATATGTTGCAAAAGTAGATATCATGTTGCAGTGACACCCATCTATAGCAGCCAACTACTGCAGCTGCTGGGCTCACCTGCATGCGCGTGAGTGCGAGGGGCACCACGGTGCGGGCGCGGGACACGGAACGTCGCAAGACACGAAGCGCACGCGGGCCACGGTGCGGTGCGTGGGATACGGAGTAGCGCGTGCCACGGTGTGGGGCATGAGACACGGTGCGAGCACGAGACAGAGCGGCATGGGTCCCCACATGAAGCAGGCACACAGGTGCGGGCGTCCGGACGCTAGCCCCGGCCGAATGTCCGGGCGCTAGACATACCGATCCATATTTGTTGAGGTGTATTGAGTTGGAAATTAGATTAAATTCCACTTCAACGTACATGGATTGAGGTGGATATATGTGCATCCAAACAAGGCCTTAATGTGATGGTGTTATTTGTCCAATTTAGTAAATATTGTACAAGTGTATAATTTTATCCAAATTTGGAGTTACTTAGATTATGTATCAAAATAATAGGATTGATAATTTTGAAGTAAATTTAAGAGGTTATATTTTAGGTTACATTTAATAATGGCAAAGACAGGTAATTTAGATGTAAATGTAGTGATTAATTATGCTATTTCTATAATGGCAGTGATGGCTAGCATTTAGAAAAAAATAGATGCAGTGGCTATTATTGTGATTATAGAATACCAAATCGATTACTTGATTTTTCTAAGTATATGATTTTTTTAAGATTTTTTTCTAGCTCATTTGTGATGATTAATATAGAAACTTCTATGAAGTTTGTAATTAGTAAGAGTGGACGTGAACAAACTTGCACTTTTAAATATTTTTTAGGATTATCTATACATATAAGTTTTTCTGCAGTTCAACTTATTAAAAAAACATATTGGTTAAACTTTCAGTTTTAGAAAAACTATTATGAAAGATTTTTGCTGTGTTTACTGCTTTTGGGGACTTATTCGAAACGGCGTTGCTACTGCCCGGACGTCTGGACGGACGCCACGTTCTCGCGCCTACACCCTGACCAACTTGACACGGCGTCTGTGCTCACCCGACCCCACACGGTGTCTGCACCCCCGCCCGACCCCATGCGGTGTCTGCGCCCTGCTTGGCCCCTCCAGCAGCTACAACAGGCGGTTGCCACATGTGCAACACCAGTTCTACTTTTAAAACGTTCAGATGTAACACTTGCAACATACGTTTGGAGACAGATGAAACACTTGAAACATGAGTCTGAAACAATTGCAAAAACACCTGAAAACACTTGAAAACCATCGCAAACATATGCAACATATAGATAAAACACTTGTAGCATATGTGTGAAACATATGCAATATCCAGATAAACACACTTGTGTGATATACCGCGCTTTCCACACAGCAACATCCAGGTAAACACGCTTGCAACATACATCTGAAAATTAGATGAAACATTGAGAATAGAAGTTGCAACATACATATACAACAATTGCAACATATGCAACATCCCGATCTACTTTTGCAACATCCATACGAAACACTTGCAACATACCTCTGAAACATCTAAAACACTTGAAACATACACTTGCAACATGTGTTTTTAGCGCAACATCTACTTGCTGCTTGGATGATTGGAGGCTCATCAACGCGGAGCTCGATGCCACGGAGTGGCGCACAACTCCAGTTGAGAAGGCCACTCCGGTGGAGAAGGAGGCCGGCGCGGTGGAGAGCGCTGTGGCAGGCAAATGGCCCGGTGGAGAGGAAGGATGGCGAGCGGTGACGCTGGAGCATGGTGGAGGGAGAGGATAGTGGCCGGTCAGGCACGGTGGCGCGGCAGTGTGGTCGTGCTGGAGCACGTGGGGTGGAGAGCGCCGCGGTGACGTTGTCGCGTTGGAGCACGCGTGTGGCGGCGCGGACGCGACGGTGGTGCGGTGAATGGAGAGGAATAGATGACGGGCTCATGGGTAGATAAGGTTGGAAGCGAACAGATACGCAAGTGGAGATTTGGGCCATTTGGCTGGTGTCATGGCCCATCAACGGTAGTGTCGGGACGGACGAACGTCCTTAGCACAAGAATACCGCATTCGAAATATAAGTTTGAGGAAAAACTCGGTTTACATTGTGTAGAAAACTCTATTTATGGCAACTCGACACTGAGTTTTCTAAGAAACTTAGCATAACACAAATTTATAGCATCAGAAAAAATCTGGACGTTTATCAAATAAGTTTTAAATTGATCTTGTCCTATAAAAGTTTTTTTAGAGGTGTTCTATAAAAGTTTTAGAAAGGAAAACAAAAGCAAAGTGAATGAAAGGAGAAAAGAAATGGTAAGGCCGAAGGCTACGTTCGCGCGGTGCTCTACTCCACAGTACACACCAACCACTCCACTCTGCTCCACTCACGCTGAATGACTATTGTCCCCTTTGGAATGAATGTAATACTTATCCCTTTTGTAGGCCATGTAGTCTTGAAAAGTTCCAACAGCCTCTCAACATGCATTGACTCTCCCCTGTTGGAGAAGAGTAGTCCTCAACTTGTTGTACCCAGGAGGTACACATTCACCCAAATCAGTGTTTGCAAGATACATTACTAAAGCTTGAAAATTTGGGTTTCTTGCTAAATTGAAAGGAACACCTGCAGATTACAAAGACAAGGAGAAAACATAGCAATCAGTAAAATGTTTTGAATCTAGACTTGGGTCATTTTGGTGGAGAGATATTGTCAAGCTTTTGAGCTCCTATAAAGGTATGTCAAGAGTTACAGTTAAGAGTGGTACTACTTGTTTCCTGTGGCAAGATTTATGGTCAGACCAAATTCTAGAGCAAGCTTATCCAGAGTTACACTCCTATGCTATAAACACTTCAATCACAGTAAAGGATGCAGGGCACAGCCTGGAAATTCATGATCTCTTCCATCTGCCTCTTTCAGAAGAAGCCTTTCAGCAGTTCCAAGAATTTTCAGATCTTATTGAAAGTACACAATTTCTAGAGGAGAATGACATTTGGACTTATATTTGGAACTCTCCTATATTTTCTTCCTAGAAGGCTTATGCCCATTTAATTGGCAGAAGGCAAGTTCACCCTGCCTACTTTTGGCTTTCGAAAAGTTGCAGTCAAAATAAAAGGAAGGTCTTCTTCTGGTTGCTTATGAAAGATAGGCTCAGCACTAGAAATCTGTTGAGAAGGAAGCACATGGCTCTTGATGATTATAATTGTCCTGTTTGCAGTCTTGGTTCTGAAGAGACTCTTCTTCACCTCTTTCTTGATTGTCCCTTTGCTGTGGACTGTTGGGCTACTCTTGGTTTACATATTAATGACTCCACTAATCCTTTTGATACACAATCACCTCCTTCAGAAATCAGTTAGTCTTACCTTTCTCTATGGAGATTATTATTTCAATGTGCTGGGCAATCTGGTCAGTAAGGAATGATGGAATTTTCAAAGGTATTCAACCAACCATCCAAAATGCAAGGAGACACTTCAGAACAGATTTTGCTCAAGTTATCCTTCGAGCAAAGAAGAGATTTGAACCATTTATTAGTCAATGGCTAGAAGCTTATGTTTAATTGTTATGATCTTCTTTGTAACCTTTTTTGTTTCATGACCTTTGTTGTAAACACTGTAAAGTTTTAATAAAAGCACAGTAGGGGCTTGCACCCTCCTGTTTCCCTTAAAAAAATGGATACTAAGATTCTTTCAATGAATCAAGTTCCATACCTCCAGTATAGAACATTCTTCCAACGAGGGCATCAACAATTTGGTGACGTTCACTCAAAAAGCTTTCGTCAATCCCTGATTGCCTCTTTCTTCTCTTTGATTGGGCATTTGTACCTCCAGAAGGGGGTAATCTTGTACTCCCTATATGTATTGGCAGGGGAACACTCTTCGGTTTGCTGTTGGAGATGGCTGCCTCAGCATAAGCCACTTCCTTGCGAAGTTACTGAAGAATTGGTACTGTCACCAGTTTGCAAATGCTAACACCTTGGTGTGCTATCTTTAACAAATGTGCTCTGATTCTAGCATAGCTACCAGATATTTGTTTGCTGTAAAATTTGCACTCTAATACTGCATTTCCTCCATCAGGACCATTGCTCTCGATCTTATTAATAAACATGGCTCCAAGAGGATATCTAGGATCACAGACTCATTCACTTCAGGAACACTATCGGCATCACTTGCTACATTGACACTACTAGGTTCATAGACATGCAACGGAGAACTTTTTTTTTCGAGAACGTGCATAGCACGTATTTCATTAAGAAGCAATGGAGAACTTCCACTACCACTTGCACGGTCCTGCTGTTATGGTGAGAGCTTTTTTGCTGGTAGGTTCTGTCCAGGTTTAGTAGAATTTGAGCTAGTCAATGGGTCTTATGCAAACCATTGCCAATCCACGAGAAACATGTAGTGCCAACCCACGAGAATCTGATCAGAGAACTATATTATGTCCTCTTCCCGATATTTTAGAAATATGTGTTATTTGTTGAAAGATATGCTAACTCACGATTAGGAAGACGAATGAGTAACAGTATTGCCTGAAGGACTGCCCACTCCACTGCGTTCTTCGCCTTCAACACTATCTTTCACCGTGGTGTGCTGGATATGACAGAAATTTGGCTGAAGATTAGATAAATTTGACTTTCTAGGCTTTCAGAGCGTTTGAAGGTTCACAATGTTGCAAATGTCTTTGTCGTTTTGTGGGTAGACGTTGCATTTATTTGATGAGCAATCTTGTTCAAAAGCTAGCCACAACTAACTATGTTTCTGTTTATTTTACAGTATTATCTTCAGTATCTTAATTTTACACACAAATACTAGAAAACATAGTCGTTCTGAGAACAGTACAGTTTAAAATGACAACATTTATGTTTTGATAAAATTTAAAACCGTTCAAACCAGTATCATAGATATCGGACGGCATGGGAATTTTCTCGCCCGAGCTGCCAGATCCTGCTGCTAAATGTTCTTCTTCTTCACTTATTGGGAACCGTCGCCGCGACCAGGAACTCACCGGCAGCGCCGCCGTCAGGCATGACGACCGCAAGCCCATCGCTGCCACTGCCACCTTTCAGGATGCTGTACGACACGTGCAGGGGCTTGCTGTCCCTGAGCACCAGCTCCTCCAGCCCAAGCTCCTGCCACTGGGCATCCTCAAGCTTGTATCCTCTGCCACCGCCGCTCTGCGGCTGCCGGTAAGCCGCCGCGCACGTCTCGACGCTCAGCCCTCCCTTGCCGTCGCTGTCGTCGAAGATGACGATCGGGAACTGCGGGGGCACCTTGCCCGCCGCGCCAAGCCGTTCCTTCGCCTGGGCGACACAGGCGACGGCGAGCACGTGGTGGTCGGGTGTGCCTGAGACGGTGGTGGCAGGTCTGGCTCTGAAGAGGACGGTTTCGGCGACGTGGTCGCTGCCGTCGGTGGAGGCGAAAGCGTCGAGGGGCCGAGGGGGATGGACTTGATGAGCGCGCGCACGGCCCTGGCGCCCGGGCGCTGGAAGTAGCTCGCGTACTGCATCAGCGGGTGGGTGGCGACGTCGTTCTGAGCCTTCATCCTGGCGTGCGTGCGCGCCCACGACGCGAGGAACCTCGCCAGCGACAGGGGATCGGACAGCATCAGGCTGCAGCTGACGCCCACGGCGAAGCCTCCGTCCCCCTGGAACCGTGTCAGCTGATCGAGCAGACAACACAAAACGTTAGCTATTGCTATTATATATGAACATGTACATGTACCTCTCAAGTCACAAAAGAGTACGTAGTATCGTCGTTACTAGAGTCGCATGAAGTCATCAACACATTTGGACTTTACCTATCAAATGTTATTTTAAATATTTTGATTGAAGTTTTGGGGAAAAATATCATTAGAAACTGTCTGATAGCTAGTTAGTCTTGTAATATTTTGCAAGGTCACATTGCTTTTCTTTGTATATTGAATTGCTCCCTCTCCGATCCAAATTGTAGTTACTTTTGTTTTGTCCTAAGTCTAATTTCTTTAATTTTGATAAAAAAATATAGAAAATTGCACTAACATCTATAACATCAGTTTAGTATAAATTTCTCCATGAAATATGTTATGATAGCTCCAACGATGGAATGATTCTACGTACCAGATTCGGGCCTCTCCAAGGTTGCCTCGCAGTAGTCCCATAAAAACACGACTTGCGGGACCTTGCCGCATCGGCCATTGGACTCCAGACCTTACTCTAATCACCTCAAGGATAGGGGGCCTCACCAACATTGGCGGACCCCATCGGAAATTTCAGGTAGGACAGACCATTAGGCATATATGTCTACCTTAACTCGATATTTCAGTTGAACCACAAATGTACAATTCTATCCTAATAGGAATTCGACAAATGATGATAAAGACAAGCATTCAAAATGATTACTTCTCATATATAAAAACCACAAAAGGATAGCTTTTAGTCACCAAGGTAATTAAGTAGGGTTGGGGTGTCGCCCGAGGGCAGGTAGGGCGGCCACCCCACCTCGCCCTATGGGTGGGTCCGCCTATACTCACCACATTTGTCGTTGGACTCCACGCCACAGATCTATCTCCTAAATTGCCATGGGATATAGGTGTGCAATACCGTCCCCACAACTCAAGGATATCTTCCAACAACCAAGCTTCTTCCACCAAAACATCGATCCAAACACATGACTCTCACCCACCAACACAAGCACGTCGCAAGATGCTTGCACTATCTTCTGATGATGTTCCATGTTGGAATAACCCTGACCAAGTATGGTTATCCATCACAGTCCGCTGCAAGCCATATAGTCCCATGTCATCGTTACTGCAAGCGCCATCTTTCGACGTAGTCCCCTCGCCACACTAACCATTCCCATGTAGGGCTAGCCGCCATGAGGGGCAACCCAGGCCGACCAGGAGATAGAAGGATTTAGTTTGACTTAAAAACAAAGTCAATATGGACTATAATAGAACAAAAGGAATATTAGTCAGTGCCTAGAAACTGTGTGATAAAAACAAACATTCTTTTACCATTATTAGGGTGCGCAAATTGAATTTCAGGATGGAGACTTTCCGTATTGCTGGTGTAGTTTACAATACTTATCAGAGTAATGACAGGTTGTTGGTTGTTGTAGCTATATATTTATATTGATTTGGACGTATATCTTCATCGGATAAGATATATAATTATTATTATATAAATGTTGTTTTTTAAGCTTTATATAAATGTTGTTGGGTGATGTAGCTATATGTATATATCATTTGGCATTTTCATTCAACAGACATGACACGTTGTTGGGTGACGTGGCTAGCTAATACTCCCTCAATTCTAGAAAGCACACGCGGATTCAAGGAGTAATAAGAGTTACCATATATATAGTGCTAGTTAAGTCAAATAATTCTAAATTGTCTAAGAACAAGTATATTGGCCCATGTCAGCTATTTAATACTCACTATGTTCTAAATTATAACTCACTTTATATTTGTTATTAAGTCAAATTATTTAATTCTTACTAAGTTATTTTTTAGAAGAATGTATTAATATATATAAAATACCAAGTGAATGCATTATCAAAAGATATTTCATTCACAATTTATTGAAACTATTTTGACGTTGTAGTTGTTAATACATTTTCTACAAATTTGGTCAAGTAGTTTATCTTTAAGACAAAGTTAAAGTAGACTATAATTTAGAATAGATGGAGCATGTCATCTGTGTGACGTAGGTTTCTAAAAAGAGAGATGTTAGGGGAGATAAAAGGTTGTTGTCGATCTTGTGAATCATTAGATTTTGGCACTACAGGACATTTGTGTGGCATTGTACTATGATATGTCATACTCTCTTCTCCCTTTTTATTTGTCGTTATTACTTTCTGAGAAGTCAAATGTACTCAACTTTGACTAAGTATACATTAAAAAATATTAATATTTATGGCACACAATTAGTATTATTGGATAGATTTTTGAATCCATTTTCACAATAATTTAATTGGATATACAAATGTTGCTAATATTTTCTACAAATCTAGTTAAATTTGAAAAAAGTTTGATCAACACGTATCTCAGGGCGACATTTAATTAGGGACAGAGGGTGTAATATAATGGGTGTATCTTTTTTTCTTCCATTGATCAACAGACTAAGGTAAGGTGTAGTTACCACTAGACAACTAAAAAAGACAACATGTTGCAGGGTATTTGTTAATAGTTAAGTTACATGGAATCCATGGAGTGGTTAATTAAGATAATAACATTGTACTTGCTCTAGTAGCCGAGGAATAATTTTGGTTACATTTATTTTTGTATGGGATAGAGAACTGTCAAGTTGATAACTTTGGACTTAAGATCAATGACCTTCTGCAGCAAACTGAAACTTTAAACTAAACTACACAATTGTCAACCAAAGATTAAAAGCATTAGAACCATAGACTTTTCACATAGAGCTTGGCATAGATTTTTCACATAGTTGAAAGCTCTATATATGCAAACCTTTTCAACCCAAAGCTCTCTATGCCAAGCTCCAACACATCTTTGCCAGCACGCACATAGAGCTTGGATTTAAGATCTGAACTTGTTACCACGCGCGCACGCCATCATGAATCGGCTCTCAAGGTACATGCGCTTGGCATGGGCATGGAGCCATGGATCTTACCTGCACGTAGACGAGCGCGCTCACGTCGGGGTCCTCCGCGTTCACGTCGACCCACGGAGCCAGCGCGGCCTCCCAGCTGCGCGCCCGGTCCTTGTCCTGGACGGCCTCCAGGAACTCGTCGAGGGTGACCTCCGCCGTGGCCTCTACGAGCCTCACGCCGGCGTCGTTCAGCTTCACCTCCCATGACCCGTCCGCGTGGCGCCGGAGCCGACCGGCCATCTCTGGGTGGTCGGCCACCGCCTCGCTCAGCGACTCCTTCGCCCACATCGCCTCCTCCCACAGCCGCGAGGCCCCCTTCTCTCCAGCGTCCGCGCGGTAGTAGAGCACCACGCGTGTGCGCCGCTGCAGCGCGGCCGCCGGGAGCGGGGGCGCGGCCACGGCTATGCGGCGCGTCCGCCCAGGTTCGACCGCCCGCGTCGGCACGGCAGTCTGCGGGGACTGCAGGTGGACGCGCGGCGCCGCCGGCGTGGGTTCCATGCTGTGTCGGTGATAGCTGCACGCTCACCCCGGCCTTATTAGCTTGCCGCTCTCGAGGATCGGAGGTGACCAAAGAGGGCTGTTGCGTTGTCCCTTTATTTGTAGGTGGCATGGTGCATATGCATGCTTGTGCCCGTACAGCAGCGGCGACGAAAACTATGCATGGCGGTTGGCAGGTGCTGTCAATGTCATGGCAGGTCCCGGTACTTTGGTCCAGGATACAACAGTATTGGACTATTGGTCGAATGTGGTCTTAGAGCTAATAGTAATACAGTTGTCTAGTGGTTGTACGTATATATTTATGGTGTACTTATCAGCTTACTCATGTAGTATAGTTGATTTAATTTATTTGTGATCTAATTTTTCTCTCAAAAAAATTCCTAGTTCTTACACATAAGTCGACTGTAAATTATTTACAATCCATTTTTCTTTTCTCTCTTCCCCGTCTCTCATCCACGTCGGTATAAATTACAACTCTTTACTATTCTTGCTTTTATTAGGGGAGAGAAGATGTCAAATACTCCTTTTTTTTTTGAGAAAACGTCAAATACTCCTGAACCTTAGTGAGGTACTTAACGGTACAAATGCATGATGACTTCAAAACGAAACGGCAGACTATTTTGCACCGGGAAAAAAGAAAGAAAAAGAAAAACATGTAGACACAAGAACTTTATCACTCTCTGTCCCAGCCTCTCTCCTAAAGGCTATTATTCCTACATCTGCAAGTATTATTGTCACCCTACAAGCTGCTACCCTTTGCTATTCTCAAAAAAAAAAAAAAAAAAAAAAAAAAAAACTGCTACTCTTTGCTCGTCTCCCTTCCGCAACAGCTTCACTCCAGCGTCCAAAGGTGAGGCCACCGTGCTGGAGCGTTTAGGTCTAGCCTTAATTACTCAGCTTTTGCGATGTCCCTATACTGGTACTCGTTCTGTCCCAAAGAGAGTCACGTAGAGTTTTTGTGCAGATTAAACTTTCTTAAGTTTGATTAGGTTTGTAGAAAATATTAACAATATTTATATTTCTAAATAAGTTTATTATAAAAGTGTATTAAATGATTAATCCAATAATTATTACTACCATGTCCCAGCAATTCTAGCACAATGTCATATTTTAGTATCTTATGTTTGACCAATTATAGATAAAAAAGTATTATTATTATAATATCGAATAAATATCATTAGATTAATTATAAAATATATTTTCATAATAAATTGATTTGGGGGCATTAAATGTGAATACTGTTCACTAGTAGAAATTTAGTCAAATGTGGGTCACTTTACCGGCACCAATCCATAGTTGCATTTTTTTTTGATCGAGGGAGTATTATGCATATATTTAGTTAAAATAAAAAATATTTGACTAAGTGAGAATGATATTGTCGGGTTCATAAACCCGGGGTCCTTCATTGACCTGCTTCCCAGAAAAGCTCGGCCCAACAGACGACGTTGCGAACGACGCGCAACTCCTGGGCCGGCCCAAAAACCTAAACGACAGGCCAGAAGGGCGATTCAATCTCCGACCGGAAGGCCCAACCAAGGAGGAAGGGCGCCCGCTTCCGACTCTGGCCCGCCTCTCCGACCGGAAGGCCTCGCTTCCGACTCCGGCCCGACTCTCCAACCGGAAGGCCTAGCCAACAACACTTCTGACTTCGACCCGCGTCTCCGACCAGAGATACACCGAATGTTTGCTTACGGATCTTCTCTGACTGGCGCAGTAGGAGCCAACTGGGACCAACCGACCGGGGACGCCTGCTCGGTGAGGACCAGGAAACGGGCAGAGCAAGTAAAGCAAAACGCTCAAGTCAACCATAAAAACAAGGACCGTACCCTGTACACCTTCAGGACAGTACCGACAGGACATGCCGGAAAGGTGCCCTGCAACCTTCCAAGCATGTCAGAACCCAGGCAGTGTTGTGGGCACCGACGATTTTCCCTACAGTGTTGTGGGCGCCATCAATTCCCATACCAGGCAAACACGGTAAAAACACCCCACATGCCTCTGGACATTGACAGTGTTGTGGGGGCTGTCATTTGCCATACATGGTGAATACGGTAAAATCTCCCACATGCGTCTAACACAAACAGTGTTATGGGCGCCTACCATCATCTTGTACCCAACGGCGTGGGCAATAAGACTTAGTAGCATACAAACTCTCGCTCTCTCTCTCTCACTTGTAAAGGTGCCCTTCATCTATAAAAAGGGATGCGCTCTCTCTCAACAGGGAGATCAATCAGACGACAACTGAAACACTCTCCAACGATCCGAATGACCAAGGATTCCAATGAACAACAGACGTTCGAACACTTAGCACGTAGCGGAGCTCCCGTCACTCTCGGCCCTTCAGACCAGAGTCCGACCGGATCTCTTGCATCCCCCATCTTACTCCCTTACGTTTGTAACCCCACAGTAAACTTCGAGCACCTGGGCTTAGGAATAAAGTCATCGATCGACTCAAACTGGACGTAGGGCACATTGCCTGAACCAGTATAAACCCTATGTCATTGAGTGCTAGGCCACATCCGATCATAACGTAAGGTAAAACTACAAATATTTACATGTTGGTCACTTTCTGCACCGACAGTTGGCGCTGTCCATGGGGAAGACGTCGTACGTTCACACTTTTGGTCATCGGATGACCCACCTTTCCGCCATCTCTGCCATGGTGGGCTCAAGCGGTACAACTCGCTTCAGCTCACTGGAGTTTCCCGCACTCCCACCTATTGGGATGTGGTTTCCACCCGTCTTCGAGCCGTCCCTGGCCTTCCTTTTCGGAAGCCTGGACTTCGTCGCTGACCGGCTCAGCGTGTTGCACCTCCGCAAGGAGGCACTTGTTCCGGCACCCATCAGAGGAGGCGCGTCCTCCATCGGCTCTGGGACACCCGACGACTTCAACGGTGAGGCGCCTGCGCTTCGTTCCGAGCATACGCTCTGCTCAAACCCCACTATGAGTAATGCACACTTTGTTATTTACTCGCTATTTACTGTCTTTCGCCGATTCTTCGGAGGGACCCCGTTGTCTCTGCCGCGACCGCTATGCAACCAGTTCCCCTATGGCCTTGCATCCCTCGCAGACGCGTACGCCCGAGGGCTCCGAAGGATGCTGGCGTCGCCCCCTCTCGCATCCGAATTCATGGGGATGGCGAGCTGTGCTCCCGCCTCTTTTCACGACCTCCTAGATGACAATGTTGAGAGCGATGGCTCTAGCATCGGCAACGCCGTGGCACCTAGCCACCCTCTGTCCTAGGAGTGCGCTATGGCGGACGCCCTAGGACAGCCGCCGGTGTTAGTGGAGTCTCTTCAAACCCACACCCCTCTGGACCCTCGCATGGATGCCCTCGCATATGCCCAAGTGCACATCGAGGAGCTACAACAAAGGCGGCAAAACCAGCTGCCACCTGCGCTGGCGCGCTCGGCGCACCATGATGCGCCCCGTGCGCATAACCCGGCGAGCAATGCCCAGGGTCGCGCCCAGCAGGTCTAGCGCAACATCATGGACAGGGGGGACGATCCCCCATAGTTTGCTCAGGCTGGCCAGAACATCGTGGCGACGGTGATGCTCCTACGCGGCCTTCCCGAGCCGAAGAACCCCTAGGAACAAGCGATTCACCGGAACCTCCGGACACTGGTGGAAACCGCCGCCGTTCAATAGGCGGAGATCTTCGCATCGCGACACCGACTCGCGACACTCTCCCCACCAGGGGAGTGGGGACGCACTAGACGAATTGCTCCATCCGCTCACCGCTACAGCCGCCGAGCGTGGCACAGGAGGGCGCAGCTGCGCCATAGCCTGACTCGGCACCTGCTCCACACCGACCGCCTATGCGTGAATGCCTCAGACCGAACCAAGACGCTCGCAGCGTCATCAGCAACCAGCGTCGGGCCCGGCATGATGATGACGTCCATCGAGCAGCAGTGAGAGTAGACGACACGGGCTCTGACCAAGCCATCGAGGAGACTGGGGAGATGCACCCCAGGCGTGGTCGTCGATCGGACGACCAGAGCCCCAGCCCAGATGGCCCGGGACCATGGGCCTTTCGCTGGCGTATCTAGAGAGCGCCGTTCCCATAGCGCTTCCGACCGCCTACCAACATCGCCAAGTATACCAGGGAGACGAACCCCAGAATATGGCTCAAAGACTTTCGGCTCGCCTACCGAGCCAGAGGAGTGGATGATAATCACTTCATCATTAAATACCTCACCATCTGCGTGGGGGAACATGTTCGATCGTGGCTCGAATTCCTCCTGTATGACAGCATCCACGACTAGGCGGATCTCAAGAGGATCTTCGTCGGGAACTTCTAGGGAACGTATGGCCCTGGGAACTCCTAGGACCTCAAGAGCTACCAGCAGGAGCCCAACGAGTCCCTGCGGGATTACATCCACAGGTTCTCGAAGTGGTGCAACTCTCTTCCTGATATCGTCGACGCAGACGTCATCAGTGCATTCCTCTCCAGGACGACCTGTGAGTCCCTGATCCACAAGCTTGGCTGCCTAAAGCCCCGAACCACCCGTGACCTGCTCGACGTCGCCATGAATCACGCCTCCGGTGAGGAGGCGGTTGGAGCGGTCTTCAACGGAGGCTAGGACAAGGGCAAGGCCAAGCATGAGGACCAAGATGAGGGCCCCTCCACGTAGAGGGGCAAGAAGAACAAGAAGGATCGGCGCCAACTGGCCAACTCCGCGCTAGTCGTAGGAGCTGATCGCGCGGGCAAGCAGCCCAAGCAGGGCCTGCTTGACCACTTCGGCAAGCTCATGGATAGCCCCTACACCAACCACACTTACCCCATCAAACACCTCTACAAGGACTGTGAGCTCCTCAAGCGCTTCCTACAATAGGCCGGCGGGCCGAAAGAAGGAAAGGGGAAGGAGGCAGCAGCCAAGAAAGGAGGCGCGGCGGGCAAGGATGGGGACGGCTTCCCCAACCCCGAGGAATGCATCATGATCTTCGTGGGATCCATGCCATCTATTCCAAGCGCCAGTACAAAGTGCGCTACCGAGAG